GGGGGGGGGAGGCAGCAGAGGGGGGGGGGAATGCCTGTGTTGCATGAAGGGGGAGGGGAATCCCCTACCGAGATGTGGTCCTCCTGGCCAAAGCACCCTGGAATCCCTCTCTCCCCCCACCCAAGTGGCAAAGGTTTTGCAAATGTCCCCAGGCGGAGAAAAACTTGCTTAGAACGTCTGCAGCCCACGATGCAATCCCAGACATTGGGGGGGTTGATGTCTCTCGTGGGGATAAAGACTCAGTGGGGCTTTTGGGAAGGTGGGGGCCTTTTAGGTCGGTTGGGGGGGGCTCCCTCTCGCATACCACAAAGCTCACTTGGATTTTGTGCCCCATGGGAGCCTTGGCAAGACCAACCTGTCCTGAGTGCCAGCCATATCTCCCCCAGTAATCCAGGGGCCCAAATGCAGAGGGGTTTTGCCCACTCCCGGGAAAGGGGCTCCCCGTGTCGCCAAAGGGATCCAGCCAAGTCTGCTTGGCCCTAAAAGAAAAAAAAAATCAGATCCAGAGAATATTTAGGGGAACGAAGGAAGCCTTTTAGTCAAAGATTTGATCGGGCAAGGGATCAGATTTCAGAGGGAGGCTTTCGTGTTGTGGAACAGAAGGTGATAATGAAACACTTTCGTTAAGAAGAGAAATAAAATGGATATTGTGGCTAAACAGCTGAATTCCTGGAGGACTGAACAAAGGTATTCAATATTTTACCATTGATTTGATTCTTGCCGGTTGCAGCGTTTTCCTTTGTTTTTGTTTTTTTGTTTTTTTTCCTTGGGAGTGTTCGCCGCTCGAAGCTTATTCATTAGTTAGGTTTTTTGGGGGGGTTTTAAGGTTTTTTTTTTTTTTTTTACTAACATTAGAAACATTTTCTATTTATCAATAACTAGAGGGGGAAAAAGAGCAATGATAGGAAGGCATTTGGGATAGGCCTGCCAGCTAGAGAATTTGCAATTTTATTTGATTTTTAGCCTAAAACAATCAAAAGAGACGTTTTTAAAACACGGATTTAATTAGCTTAGCCGTTTCTTCCTAAAGTAGACACTAGCCCCCCCCCCCCATTTCTGCAAATGGTGCTTCTCTATTTTAGCTCCAGGTTACCTGATAATACCTATTTGTTTGGGGGGGGAGGGTTTAAGATATAAAAATGAGTCTCTTTCTCTGTCTCTTTCTCTGTGTTTCTCTTTCTGCCTCTGTGTGCCTGTCTGTCTCTCTCTCTTTCTGTCTTTCTTTCTCTCTCTTTCTCTGTCTCTCCTTTCTCTTTCTCTCTCTCTCTCTGTCTCTCTCTCTTTCTCTCTCTCTTTTTCTGTCTTTCTGTCTCTCTCTCTCTCTTTCTCTCTCCCCTCCCTCCCCCTCTCCCTGTCTAGGAGGCAGGCAATGCATAATGCAGGAGGGTGTTAGTCATGCATCATTTCTGACATGCAGTTTTTTAATGGGGATAAAACGGTTCATGGGAAGCTGCTTTTGGTGGGCTTGTTTTACAGCCCTGGTTTCCAGAGAGAGAAGCAGGAAATGAACGGTGCCGAATGGGCCACTTAAAACCTGGAAATCCCAGGAGATGAAACACCCCCTTCCCCTTTGCCTGGTCCTTCCCCTCGCTTTACCAGTTGGGCTTCTCCTTGTCAGGGCTGCTGCTGGGGACGGCCGGACGGGACCCCTGGAAGGGAAGGCAGCCTCCTCACCCTCTCTGGAAGGGGAGACCCTCCCTCCCTGGTGGAGGACGGTTGGGGAGGCAAGAAATTAACCGGGCGGCTGCGACAACCTTGTGCAGATAATCTGTATTGGCAATTACAGTAATTAGATCAGGTAGCTAATTGCCACCTCCGCGGGCCTCGTTTTGTCTCGGCAGAGGGGAGGGGAAGAGACGAGACAGGCCCTGGGAGCAGAGGGAAGATGATGTGGCCCAGGGGTCGGATTCCACCAGTTCGCACCCATTCTCTACAACCGGTTGTTAACATTCTAAGAAGTTCGGAGAACCGGTTGTTAGAAGAAATTACTGGGCTAATCCTGTAAGGAAGGCAGGAAGGAAACATTCTGGTGTTGCTTACAGAAACTGCCTCTCCGTTAACTCTTATTACATTCTTGGCAGGACTAGACTTCCTATTTCAGGAACGTCTCTGGAGCCACTTGGGAAAGGAGCCCACGTCAAGGGCCCATCCAAAGGTTGGCGAGCCCAATTTTCACTCCCCAATTCCCCCCCCCCTTTCGCTAGATTTGGCCAACTGGGCAATTTTGCAAGAGCATCGCTCTTTAAAGAGCACCCCCGGTTTGCTGATTTGTGGCCCAGGAATGCAAATCTAGACATGGTCCTGTTGTGGGCTGGCATCTGAAATGGCTGTGGGTGAGCAAGAATCGGCTATGGTTGCGGGGCATGCCAGCTTGTCCTCCCAGAGTGGGCGGTGCAGCCCCGGTTTTTAAAAGGGGGAACGATTTAAACAACGCCCTACTTTAGCATCGCTTGTGTAGAACTATAGCAATCATGGTTCTGCTTTAGCCCCTCCACCCCCAGGCCCCATCTTTACAGTGGCTTGACCGAGGGGAGTAAAGGAAGAAAGCAGAGGGGGTGAAGGTTGGAGGCCAGGCTTGCAGCCAGTACACTCAAGGGCCCAGCCCTCCTGGTTCCCCTCCGGGGCAGCTGCTCTTTGGGACAGAAACAAAAGCCTTCCTCCTTCCCTCTGACTGCACAGCTCCTGCCCCGGTTTCTTTGCCCTTCTGGAAGGGGATCTGCAGCCTTGGAAGAGGCCTGTTGAAAGACCAGGAGGAAGAATTAGCACCTGCGCCTCATTAGCGGCACAGTAATTAGCCTCCCTTGAAGGGTGCCAGAAAGAAAGCCGCCAAGATGTCCGGAAACCAGAAGGCAGGGCAGGAACCCAGTGGTACCATATGCCCAAGGTCTGAGCATCGCTGGCAAAGGCCATCTGGGGCTGGACGTAGATTGGGGGGGGTCTGCCTGTGCTGGCTGGCAAAGAGAGGGTCCCTCAGAAACGACGACCCGGCTGTCCGGCTGGAGGAGATGCCAAGACTGGGATGGCCAGCCTCGCTGCCATGAGCTGGAGGGCGGTTGGCATCCTTTAGGCCAGGTATGCCAAAGCCTCAAGCTTTGGAAGTGGTGCAGGATTCTTCCCCTACCTTGGCAAATGCTTTTTAGTGTGTACAAGTTATTTCACGGTGTATTGGTGCGTGTGTGTGAGAGATGCACCAACAACTCGTCATAATCGCTACCTTCTAGTTTGCTTCTTTCCCTTTGGTAAGTTGTCGCCAAAATAAAAGATTTGGAAGACCTGAGCGAGCGAATAAGGGCTCTGTAACCCAGGGGGCACAATTGCATGTAAATGTGTCTGGGTGTTTTTGAGAAACAAAATGAGAAAAGCTGTGATTGATGGGAGACATGCTGAAGAGGGGAACAGAAATGAAAGCCGCATATACTTCTGTCCAAGAAAAAGAAAAACGTGAAAAGGTTTAAGACACAAACGCCGAGACTGCTGAAAAATGCCAGGAGTGTTGGAGTAGAAACGTTAAAAGCAAGTGGTGTTGAGCCTGCAGGGCAGCCCTGCATTTTATTTAAGGTGTTGTGAAAAACTGTGGATTGGAAGACTGCTCTTTATTGTTTCCTGTGTGGTGAAGTGAGCAAGAACACCTACAGGCCCATTAATTCGCTAAAGTGTGCCTGGAAACATGCAGGGCTGACAAGGGAAGCGAGAATTTCGAACGTTTAGAAGGCCAGGCAGCTTTGCGCCAAGCAGAGTGGATGTGGGCTGCTCTGTCCGTCATTAAGAAGGGCAAAAATGTGACCCTCTCTTGTACCTTTGTGGGCTGCAAAAAGAAAAAAGAAAAAGAAAAAAAAAGGAAGGTTAAATTAAATAAGCTTGAATTTTGGCACGTTTCCCGCAAGGACAAGAGTTGAAGGTTAGTTGCTGAACGCGAGAGAGCTCCGGGCAAAAAAAGAGGGAAGCTTAAGAGATCATTTGAGTGTGGAGCAGAGAGAAGGACGTGTGTGAGGTTCTGTTGGCTGCTAAATTTAGAAATAAATACCTAAAGAATGCTTGTGGCTGGCTGGCAGGGCTCTGGCGTGCATTTATATGCAGATGTTGCCGCTGCTCGGCTGAAAAAAAAAACACCGGAGTGATTTTCAGCCAATGTTAGCTTGTGCGAAGCAGCAGCGAGGGGTCTGGGCCTGAAAATTGATGTATCTGAGACTGAGGTAATTGGCTTTTGACAGGGAAAATGGAGTGAAGGATTGCAGTTTATACCTAAGTGGCAAGAAGCCAGGACGAGCAGGTGGATGAGGTGCCTTCGTAACATGGTTATCGAAGGGGTGGAAAGAGAAGGGGGAGATTTTAAGGTGCACCAGGAAGTGGAGGGTGGCTGGTCCCCACCCAGGGATTATTTCTTGGAAAAACCAAAAGAGGAGATCAGGTCAAGAAAGGATGCAGGCAGTTTTCGACTTACGACCACCATTGACTCCAAATTGCTAAGCAAGACAGTGGTGGAGTGCGTTTTGCCCCATTTTATGCCTATTCTTGACCCGGTTGTTAAGTGAATCCCTGCGCTGTTAAGCAAGTTAACACAGTTGTGAATCTGGTTCCCCCGTGGACTTTGCACGCCACACGGACAGCTGTTGAGAACTGCCTTCTGTGCAGGGGAAGGGAAGGAAACCCCGGTCGAATGAGACGCCCAGGTCGCTCCAAGGTGCGACGCTGGCCTGGCGTGAAAGAGCGAGAAGGAATTAAGGGGGGTTTGCAAGGAGCAGAGAGTAGGAAGAGGGTAACCAAAAAAAAACCCTAGGTTCTTACCTGGCACCTGGGCTCTCTCTCGCACTCTCAGTCCCTCCAATTCCAAGTCCTCCTCCTGCAGAATTTGGGGTGCAGCTGACCCCTGGCAAACTTCAGCACTGCCCCCCCCAACCCACCTACCCCCCCCCAAAGACGATTCACTTCTCAAGCAAACAGGCATCCTACACGGGAAAAAAAGCTTGAATAAAATAGCTAAATAAATCTTTAATATTTTTTCTAATTGCAAATGTACATAAATGGCACACACACATCATGGTTTGTTTTTTGTTTTTTTTTGCTCTGGACACAAACTACGTTCTCTGTACATTATTCGACAGCAAAACTGAAGGAAACGACTCAGCAAGTCCTCGGCTTCATATTATTATTATTATTATTCATTATTATTATTATTTTTATTAAACATACTTACAAAAATTATTTTATTATTATTGTCATATATTTTTTTTTGCTTGGTTTCTTTTAGAAGAGACTATAAAACACGGAGACTGGTTTGAACAGGGAGCAAGAGGGACCCAGGACGCTTGTAGGCGCCAGAGAGGTATATCTGAAGACACAGTGCTGCTGTCCAGGAAGGGAAAGGGAAAGGAGACCACATGGAGGTTTTTTTGTTTTTTTTTCACATAATGGATGCCGAACCACAGAGCAACCACAAGGGAGTCCCGTTTGGTTGAAAAATCACTGTCCTTCCCCAACAGCCACACCCAACTGCCCACCCACCTTGGGGGGCTTTGGTGAAACCTTCCCATCTTCCGGATAGGGGCACAATCTCTGGGTCTCCCCACACAGATCCTTGTGGCACGGTATGGTGAGTGGTACAGGAGGAGGGCTGGATGGGAAAACCCACTACCAGCTGCTTTTCCTTCGCCCACCTTCTGCACCCGGTTGCCCAGGTGGGTGGACTGGGCTGCTTGGGGGAGAATGGGGGGGGGGGTTGCTTGGCTCTGGGGCCAACTCAACCCCCTCCAGCCTATTGTGCTGGATAGAGACCGCCACCAAGGATCTGGGTGGGCCCCTGTGGCTTGTCCCCCAACCCCAATGAGGGCTGTGATGAAGGGGGAGGATGTCGGGCAAAAACCTGCTCCCTGCTCAGTTTGAAAGCAAAATCGACTGTCCCCCCCCTTGGCTCGATCAGGTCCAGAGTTGGTTGAGGGCTCAACTAAACCATGGCACCTTTCGTTCGTGACCCGAGCCCCTGGATTGGTGGGCTCTGGCACCTTCCCAAGAGCAATCCAGTGGATTTTTTACCCATCGGGTCTCATCCAGCAAAACCAGACATGCATTTGGGGTCAACCCGGGCCCTCTGGTTCCTTTGCATTGTGGGTGACGGTTGTGGGGTGCCCCAGCCCCCTCCCCATATAGGGTCTTCAATTCAGCCCTCAGGGACTCAGTGTTGATTTCCCACCAAGCTGGCTTGGCCCGAGTGTCAAATTCGGGATGGATCTTGCATTGGGGGAAAAAAAAACAACCCACCTATTTGATATCAACGTTTTCTCCCTCCAGAATTTAGCAGGAACCACGAAGCTCACTTCCAAGAGGAACCAGACCACGGGGAACCATCCATTATCTGGGTTTTCCAAAGGAGCATTTGGATAGAGCCAGCCCCATTCCGCCCCCCCTGCGTGACTCTAAACACTGCAGCTCCCCTAAATCAAAGCAGCCTTTTCTTTTCTTTTTTTTTAAAATTCTCAGGCAAAAGAATTTTTTTTAAAAAAATGGCACATTATATTCGATACTTGAAAACATCTTTCTCCGTTTTACAAAGAGGACCTGTACAACTTCTAAAGATCAGTATGTATTATAGAAGGATTAGTTGTAAAAAAAAAAAAGAGAGAGAGAGAGAAAACCTTACAGATCGTAACCAGTTCATATGGCGGAAAGTTCAAGGAGAGAGAAAAACGGGGTTCGCACACACGCGCACCCCGAGAATGAAAGGGCAGCAGAGGTCTCTCTCTCTTCTAGGTGCAAACCATTGGGAGAAGGGAGCTGAGGGGCCCCTCCCACCTGCCCAGGCTTGAGGGGTGAGGAAGGGAGGGCATCCAGTCGAGCACCCAGGGGCTGGACTGAACCCCGGATGGCACAGGGGTTCCCTCCTGGGCATCTCAGGCCTCTGGTGGGCGAGGCGAGAGGGCTTCCTGGAGGGCAGGGTCCAGCATTTGTGACATGGCATTGGGCAAACGTTCCCAGCGCCCTGAAAGTGCCCAACAGGACCAAGGACAGCGCAGGGGAAGGTACCTGCTTACTTAAGGTATGGATGGCTGGGAGGGGCTTCGGATGCATGCCCCACTCAAAGGGAAGACCCCGCGAGCCCTGGGAGTGCTTGGCAAGGAAAGGCGCCCAGTCCCCGGCTGCTTTGCCCAGGCTGCCTAAGACCCTGCCTGGGCACCATGCCCTAGGAAATTGGGAGGAGGGGTAAAAGACATGACTATTGGGAGGCGTCCAGCGGTGCCACTGATCTTTAGGCATTGGTTCCTTCGCCCCAGAGACAGAGAGAGAGAGAAAGCGGGGTGCAGAAAAAGCAGCGTGATTGTCTGCAAACGTTCGGGGACCAGGTGGGATCGCCAGGTGTTGGGGGTGGGGGTGTTGTCAGGATTAAACTTCGGGTCTTCTGGGAAAGGGCCCCGGGGCCAGAGTTTGCACGCAGCCGAGCCAGATGGCGGGCGGGGAAGCGTTTGGAGCGAGAGAGAGAGATTCAACGTCTGGCTTCGTTCGCCTTCCTTCGTGGCTGCTGCCTCCTACACACCTGTAGGGGGGGTCTCACAACGGACCACACTGCCAAGACAGGCCCGCCAGCCCGGCTAAGGCTGCCCAGCGGTTCGGATTAGGGAAAGAGGGAGGGGGGGTGGCACTTTTCAGAGGGCGCCTCCTTGCTCGGTTACTCTCTCTTTTGCGCGGCCTCGTCGAGGTGGCAAGCTTCCCACGCAGCACCCACACACACACCCTGAAAAGAGGAGAGGAGTCCAGAAAAAGTCTGCTTTGGGCTTTGGGCTGTTTTATTCCTAACGCAGACTGTGAAAGAAAAAAAGAGAGGGAATTAACCGGCTTTCGTACACGAGGGAGGCTGTCGTTTGTTTGTTTTTTCATCCTCTGGTGCTTCTCCGGCAGCCATCATGCAGGGACCTGCCATACACGTTGCTGGAGAAATAGGGCCCGCCAAGCAGACCCCACCCACCCCTGTGAGCAGCTTGGGTGGGTGCCCTCCCCATCTGTGGGGCGGCAGCTCCCTCGGTGCTAGGAAATTGGGGGGGGGGGGGGGGGCGTTACCCCAACACCAAAACCACCCCCGGAAGGCCCAGGCTGGTTTCTTCCTTTTGCAAACCCCGCCGAAGATTTGACTGCCCTGGTATCCGCTGACACACTATTGCACTACGCCCTGGTGTGGATTGGGTTTCTCGGGCTTCAGAGTTTCACGTCGTAGCAGGAAGCTTATTTTTCGCGCTCTTCTTGTTTGGCGCAGCGAAACAGCCCTTTGGCCGGAGGTTGTGGCCCTGCCCGCATCAAGTGGGCTCTCGCTTTGGCTGGGCAAGGGGGAGGGGAAGGGTCTTCTGCAGCTTTCGCCTCCTTTTCAAACTGTTGGGGGGGGGGTGTCTCGCCAGCCTAAAGATGGCCAGGGGCCAAAACGGACCTCCTGCTGCCCAGCTCATGGGTTGCCTTTGCAGAAGTTGGCACGCAAAACGTGTCCCCCAGACGCAAGATTGTCGTCAGCCTGGCTCCTGGCTGCATCGAACTGATGCCGCCTTCTGCCCTTTCCCCCTTTATTTTTGGCCTTGTCTCCAGCCCTGGGGGTGGGGGCAGAAATGCTTGGGTGGGAGGAGCCTAAGTGCTGGAAGGGGGAGGGGGATCCGTGCTGATAAAAGTTGAGCCCCAAATGAATTCTGCAAACTTAAACCGAGAGAGAGTGGAACATCCCTGAACTTTCCGCCCAGGTTGAGGTTTTCTGGCTAGCGGCCATTCTTCAGGGACTCACACAGAGATGCCTGTGCAGAGAATCCTTCGGCCCGTGATGGAGCCCCTGAGCTGCTCCAATTCCTCCTCCGACCCCTGATGAGATCTGTTGGGGCCAGGGGGGGAGTGCCATCCCCCAGACGAAAGGGGACAAGGCCCCTGGCACCGAACGAGCACTCGGTGGGACGTGTTGGTGGCAGCTAGAACAAATTCCAGGGTGGTGGCAGCGCCAGGAGCCAGGACAGATCAGGGAGAACGTGCTTGGAACAGGGTGCTGGGCACGTCAAAAGTCTCTCCACATTCCTGCCTTTGCTGTTGAAGCATCTTCTTTGGACATCTGGCTTAGCTCCTGCTCGTTTGGAGGCTCCTGTGCAAACCAGCGCCATCCCTGGGCCAGGGGCTGTTGGCGAGGAGCGCTCAGAGTCCACTTGGCTTTGCCCGCTGGAGGAGGCGGACCAGGGGAGTGCCAGGCCCGTGCCAGGTAGCTCACCCCTCCTGGGCGCTCGACTTGGCTCTCCTCTCGCTCACTCTCTCGCACACCCGCAGCAGCATGGTCCCTGGGTTAACAGCTACTGCTGTTCCGGAATTCACCGCTCTCGGTGATCTGCAATTTAGTTGGGTTGGTGGGGGAGATCCCGTTGCGGGTTTGCGTGCTGTACCTCTCTTTCAGCTGCGTGAGGGCGCTCATGAGCCGGGCGTTGGCCGCGTCCAAGGAGGCGATGCGTTTCTCCTGGGGTGGGCAAAAGGGGAGACGGACGGTCAGTGCAAAGATTTCCCCAGCTAAAGCGGTTTTTAAAAAAACTGGGATAAACAAGACAACAACATGGTCCGTCTGGGACGGTTTCTCCCAACCTTGGTGACTTTGAAGAAGTGTGGACTTCAACTCCCAGAATGCCAGCATGCTACCTGGGGAGTTCTGAGAGATGGAAGTCCAGCCGCGTTGGTGGCTGTGCAATTCTGGAAGTCCAACATTTCTCAAAAGTCCCCAAGGTAGAGAAAAGGGACCAGGAGGAGAGAGGTGGCGACCCCGTTTTGAATTGGGGGGCAGTTGCCTTCCTCTTTTCTAGGTTTTGCGATGTTTTTTTTTTCTTTCCCAGGAAGGCGCCTGTGTTATTGATCTGCAGCAAACCAGCTTCTCCTTTCAGCCCTTGCCTGGAATTATTTGGAGAGGCAGGTTCCCCTAGGAAGGGGCTCGTCCTCCAGCCTCGCCTTGGGCGGCTGATGGAGATCTCTGCTTCTCGTCCCTGAATCGATCCAGCCGGTGGACTAATTAATGGATGAGTTGGTGGGAATGGCTCTTGCTAAGGCCAGAGGCATCTCTTATTGCCTCTAATGGGCCAGGGCTGTGGAGATACGAGGAGCCGGGCAAATCCCTGGAGCTGCTCAGGTAGCACAGCCCACCCAGCAGCGTCACTCCGCCTGGGTGCCAGCGGGACCAACGCCTGGACGGGCAGAAGCTCCATCTGACAATGGGCTCCTTCGTCTGACCTTCTTCTTTGGGGGGGGGGGGAAGGGGGTGGGGAGTGGCTGGGGGGGGGGTGCCTTGCCCAAGGTGCCAAGAGGCAGCCTGGAATCCTTGGTAGGCAGGAACCTACAGCTCCCATCCTGACTGCTCTCAGGATACATTGAAGAGTTGTATAGATTTGTGCTTTAGTTAGGCAAGATTCAGTCTCTCCGCAAGCAGCAATAAGGGCGTGACTCTGAAGTCATTCCTCGGGCGTTTTTGGTTCCCTGCATTTAACCCCTGCCCAGATTCCCCACCACCACATACACAAACAGTGCAGCTCAGAGAAAGTCCCCACTCCACCTGCGCATCGATGATCTTCTGCTTGGAGTCCACAGCCGCCTGCATTTCCGCGTGGTCCTTCTTCAGCTCCTCCTCCACCGACATCAGCCTGGAGGTGGGAAAGTGGTGGTGGGGGTTCCCCTCTCAACGGCACAGCCTTTCTCCCCTTCTTTCTCCTCCCAGCCCCACCATTTTTGGACACAAAGAAATTCTGGCGGCAGGTCTAAGCGCCAGATTCGTGTGAGCTATGCTGGTCGGAGTGGGGCCCGCTGGAGGAATCCCCTGCGATTGACTTTTGGGGAGGGGCACAGAGGAAGTGTGAGGGTTCCAAGGAACACCCCCAAGGATGCTCCATTCCGCCCCCCCCCCCTTCCCCACTTACCTGCTGATGATCCCCTTCATCTGTATCTCCTTGTCTTCTTGCTGCCGCCGCAACCGGTCCTCACTCTCCTCCAGGCGGGCTTGGTACTCCAGCGCCAGCTTCTGCGTGCCTTCCTCCTGGCACCGGAAGTGCACTTCGTACTCCTCCAGCTTCTTGGCTGACTGGCGCAGCTTGTCCTGCAGCACTGCCACGTCTTGCTGATACTGGGGTGGGGGGTGTCAAAGGGGAAGGGAGGAATGGAGGGACTAGGCCAGCTGTGCCACAGCAGCCGCCCCCTGCGGTCCCCGTCCACCCTCTTTGGAGACAGGCAGGGATCTGTCCTACCACCGGTGCAAGAAGGGAATGCAAGAACCCCACTCCCTCCTAGTGCTGACAAGGTTACCCAGTTAGGTCATGAAATGTCTGCAAGAAAACCACCAAGCTCAGAGAGCACCAGGGACCCTATGCTCCTCCTCCTCCTCCTCCTCCTCCTCCTCCTCCTTTTTCTCCCTCCTCTTCTCCACAAAGCCCACTCCCTTCTAGCACTGAT